GTGTGTGTGTGTGTGTGTGTGTGTGTGTGTGTGTGTGTGTGTGTGTGTGTGTGTGTATACGTGTATATGCGAGTGTGCTTAGAATGTATTATATTTATATACTTGACTGTTTGTTTATTTTCATCTGATATAGAAGCAATTTGTACCTTCAAACGCATGCACACGCACATTTTTCCCTCTTTTCAGAAACAAATTGTATATAAGCTAATCGTAAACTGTGCCAAGATTCCACGGTGATTGCGTGCGGCACTATATTTACTACTAACACTACTTACTATTCTGGACATAAGCCTATACATCCTGGAGCGGAGATTTCTCGACAGAAGTTTTCAGCTGTTGTCTGTGATATGTCTGGGCTCAGTATAACGCAGGGGAGGTTTATACTTCTTGCTGTAGTAGTATGTGCGAGTCTATGGGATGTGTTGGTGACTTGTGTACACAAACGGTGACGCACTTTTTATTTATAAATATGGGACTCGTTGCTTTGTGATGGGCCACGCCTCAATTTTCAAGCGTCGCCAATAAACGTTTAACGTCAACTGAGTACTGACTCTTTTTCTTTTTGCGTTTTGAGACGTAAACATTTTCGCAAACGACGCACTCGATCCAGTGTACTAATATAGCATAAACGTTCTAAACTTTGACGTATAAACCTATTAGAAACGTTTTAACGCGGCAACTGAGGTTTATAGGGCCACGCGCACCCGGACCGAGCAGTTCACCACAAATATAAACAATGGATTCCAAATTTTGTACTATAGCAGATGCGTAGTGCTATCAGCGATACCACTCTGATCCATATACATACATAGTAGTGTATTAGTATATAATATATACCGTTATATAAGAAACGGAGAAGGGAGTCTGATTATGCTTTTGGCACAACTTACGCGTGTTTCGCGCACGGTTGGTATATCGAGATGCGCACAGGCGGGGGCATTGCAGCACAGCCGGACTTATGCTACGGCTGACAAGGCGGAGGAGAAGGAGGAGAAGATCCCTCAGTTGACCAAGCTTATGAGAGGGTATACGAAAGCACCAAGGATGGCTAAAAAAAAGGGCCAAGAGAGTACGTGAGCGAGGGTTTTAAATGCCCTTTCAGCTCGCTTGAGAACTATTTTGTGCACGATCTCGCACGCCGTATACAAAAGCGACTGGGTCAGTAGTTGGAATATTACACTAAATGACATGATATCATTTCAAATACACGCACACATACATACATACACGCATACTTACAGACACATGTATACGCACACGAACGCGCACACTCACGGATGCACGTATACACATACCTGCACACACACGCACACACACACTCAATCACTCACACTTCCACTTACAAACACACTCA